CTGCTGCCATTGCTGGTCTGTTTAGTATATTTGTCACCTCTCGGGGTCACGAGACACAAGAGGGGAAGGTCGAGCTAATCCCAACCACGGGACAACTGAGCTGGCTTGCTTATGGAGGGCAAAGTGGGAAAACACACAGAATCACCTACTGATGTGTTTAGATTTCTCACAGCTTTATGTCTTGTCAAGTATTTTCAGAGCGAGTAACAACAGATAGGCACAAATAAGTAAGGTGAAGCAAATCAAAAACTTGTGACCTGAAGCTGTGCATGTAAATCACATCAGCATGACCAGCCTTCAGTGTCTAGCATGCTGCAGTAGATCCTGTGTGTGTAAAGGCCCTTGAAGCAGGTCTGAGCATTGATCTTAGCCAAACACATTGTTGGACTGCTTGAGCTCCCCCTCTGAACATCAGCAGTAATCGTACAGATGACTGATTAACTGTACAATCCTCTCATGCCTCAGAAACTGCTCTCAACTCTTCATAAGGTTTAAACTTCACTCGCACTCTTGCTGCATGTTTAATCTACTCCTGCTTAAAAGGATGTGAGAGATGAGAGAGAGAGAAAGTAGGAGGCAGGCCCACCACAGCTCATAAGCACTTATAAACAACAGACAGTAGACTGCGTTAAACAAGAGAGTCTGTAAAACTGCCTCGAATTACAGAAGTTTTGCTAAACTTTAAAATTACCTGACGCCATAACAACCTCACATTTTTACATCCTCTGCAGTTGAGGCATTTTAAAAACAAGCAAATACTGCAGACCAGCCAGGTCAAACTCATTTTACATCACGTCACACGTGCAGCCCACTTTGACCTCTGTGGGCTGCATGTGTGCCGGACCAGTAAAACTCCCCTTTCTGCCAGCGTAAAGAAGTTTAACAACGCATCGAGTCCCTCAAGTATCTTAATATAAGAACAAAGAAGTGTATTTTCAACATTACATAGGAAAATACTGTTAAAAATACAAAGTCTATGCCCTCCTTCAAAATTTGCAAAACCATCCAGTGGGACCATCTTGTGATTGACAAATCACTATGGTATGAGCTCCTCTGTTTCCTACTCAGATCCACACTCGACTCATGATGTCTGGTTTCGAAAAGGCAAGATTGCAGCATCCAAAATGCTCAGCACAAGGCTTCATCGCCAGCTGACGTCACAGTGGCTCCATCCATTTTTTGTTTTTGTTTTTAAATGAACAGTTCTCACTGAATATCTCTAAAGAGGCGATTCTGCAGAGAAGCCCTGATATGCTTAAATGCCATCCATGCACAGAAGTCCAGCTGTGACCAGAGTGTGGTTTTAGGTCACTGCTTGTGTGCTGGGATGCCTTTAAACTGGATCCATTGAAGACCAGTTCAGCCACCACAGTAGCCACATCTGACAATGACATGCAGACATCTGAAGAGGTCACTTGTCCTAAAATAAAGATCAAGCAGTTTGCCAGAAATCACATAACCCAAGCTGGCATTTCAGTCACGTGATAACACGGTTTACTGTGGGAGGGACGCGTGAGTGACCTCAATTTGTCATATCTGAAGTGATAAAAAGTGAACCAATGATAACAGGATTGCCTAAAACACCAAGTGCACAAACACATTTATATCTTTTAAGTGCCTTATGTTCACACGCATGCAACACTCAGGGAGAAGATTTACTTGTATACTGTAGCAGTCAAAGTCAATTAAGCAGTTCGCATTCTGACAATAAATGATTTTGTCTTTCATCTACAATTTTTTTGACAGCTGTTTAATTGTTTTCAGTGACTGTGAGCAAAATATATAAAGATACTGGCGCTCTCAGTGCCCAACGCAATGTTTATGCAAAGTTTCATCAAGATTAGTTCACTCATCTAGGAGGAGATAGAGGACAAACATAGACTATGAGGACTATTTGTAATCCTCATTCTATTCTCTAGTTGTAAAATATGTACTTATATATAATCTATACACCGATTTTTTTAAAAGGAGGAAAAACATTAAAATGTGGATCATAGCCTTCTCTTCGTCATTTTACTGAACCGCTTGCATGAATATGGACACATAAATGAGTACCTACCGCTTCCAAATTTTTAACATACGTTTTTTAAAAGGTATCAGCCAGCTATACGTGTTATTGATTAAAATTAGGCTCATTTTAATTTGCACAAGCAAATTAAAGCAACCTGCACAGCTTTCCATTTACACCTATTAGTAGGGTTTATGGGATTAAACATGCATAATCGGCTGTTTTGCAGCTCCGTGCATTTTGTCCCGTCATAAATTCCTTTAAAAAATGTCTTCTTTGGTAGTAGCTTAAAGGCTGCCGACCTCTGATCCAAAACATTTCAACACACAAGTGAGAAAACCATGACTTTGGTTGAAAGTTGTAGTGAATCCCTTAGCTCAGATCAAGAGATCTAGTCTCGCTGTCACGTTGTTTCAAATATTTATTGATTTGATATGCTGCACTAAAATATGGTGACCTCTACCTTGAGATAAAACGTCAACTAATAAACTACAGAGGTTGTAGTGCCTCATGACCGCCATCTGTTTTTGCCTAAATCGACGCTCAGAAGCTCAGTTTGCATCAGGTGATTGTGGAACCCCCCCCCCCCCAAACAAAACAGTGATTTAGCGGGTAGAATAGGACCCCTGCACAGGAATGACACACATGAAAAATTCATGATGTTTGCAGGTAACTCAACACCCACACACTGCGTCCTGCCTGGGAGTGGATACCTGAGTTCAAAGCTCAGAAAAGAGCAGGCTGAAAGGCGATAGAGAGCATAACATAAAGTTTATAACAATGACAATAACAACAGCAGCACGTGGATACAATATTTGTCTCGTGCTGAAGATTCTGCGTCATTATGTAACCAGATCCGCGAATATTTTTATGAAGCATTGGCTGTTTTTTTTATTGGTGTACTGAGCTAAGATTAGACATAGGGTGGGTCTACTTTGTTTTCTACGGTCGGGCAGAAGTAGTCAAAGAGGAAACGAGGCAAAACAGAGTTTAGGTTTTCACTTCTCTAACATCACAGGGATGCAAACTTGTCGCCGTGATCCTGGGTATCTACCCCCGGTAAACCCAACAGAAAACACCCCGCAGTTTGGAGATACCCAACCCTTCCACCCGCACATGTTAGTCACAGAGTCTGGAGCTGTAAAAACAAACAAGCAAAACTTAACATACAAGTCAAACTACCACTGCTACAAATTAGACCAAGTGTTGCCTGTCGAGCTGGCCTTTCCCGTCTTTTTTCTTACCGTCGGACTCGTAAAGATCCCCACCTTGGTTAGGAGCGCACAGTGGCGATCAGCGGCAGGTTTCCAACCACAGACACGCACTCGCTCTCTGAGCCCCCGCAATAAATGTCCGCGTTTTCCACAGCTTCACAACGTCCCACTTTAGAAATAGTACATGGAGACAGCCTAAACGTAACCCAGATCCTTAACCTGGTCCGCGGCGCACGCAGTGGAGGTGAGCCCACACTGATCCTCTTCTGATCGCTCCTCCCACAATACCAAGTGGTCATGTCCACTGAAGAGGTGTTTCTCATTTTTTTTGTAATACCTTTTGGGAAATAACCACGTGACAATATGATTAGCGGCGTTTAGCACCCTGTAAACCCTGTAAAGCAGGGAGCCATAATAGTCTGTAAATTAATGGTGTCAGATGTAAATACTTTTTTAACTATTACTTTTTTCTGAACTGTCCCAGCCGGACCCACACAACCTCTCGATCATTTTCGTCCTGCATAAGAAGATCTGCCAAATCGAGCTGATCTGAGAAAAGTTCGCCTTATTTATATTTGAGAATTTAGATCTGAAGTCGAGATTAGAGTGTGGGTTTGAGATCAAGCAGGCTAAGAATAGGTGCTGTACAACGGCTTGCCCTATACTCTTCCCCGACTTTCCAAGTTGTGTATAAATCTGGGCCTCAGCATGTCTAACTCCACCCATATCTCCAGCGGGATCATAATCATTGTGATTTCCAGCATGAAATTATACTGTAGAGTTATAGAAGAGACACAACCTCCATTTATGCTTGATTGAAAGATATATTTAGCCTAAGTCGTAATTTAAGAAGTTAGATGCAAACGTATCTATAGTCCATCATTTCCGGTAGTTACACGGAGTCTTTTATCGGGCATATTTTTGACAGATTTGGCCATGACAGTGAGAGACGTTTTTGGTTTTTTTTAGTTTATGGTTATAAAGATGAGCAAGCCTGTAGCGGCATCTGGTGGCAAGACAGATGAATTACATCTCCTCAGAGTAGCCTTTCAAAGGAAACGTGTCAACGACCGTCAAGAGTTATTATAGCAGCAGGTCGTAGGTGTAGTTCTGACTTACTGGAGGTTCGTATGAATATTAAAGCTATGTAAATTAATACAGGCTTGTTAATGGTGAAGATTAATGATGAATGTGAAAAGGATCGGGATACATGTGACTGTCGACACACCCGGAACTTACAGCTTACATAAATCTCATTGGTTGACGGTGACATTTTCTAAATAAAGTTTTATACAAATTTGAAACGAAAAAATAAAAATCTGTCTCAGGAATACAAAATATCCGAGGAGGATGGATCCATCAACAAGAGCCTTGGATGAAGTTGTTGTGGTGGTATCTATTTTATCATCTGAAGTTTTGTTTGTTTGTTTTTTCAGGGTTTTTTCTTTTTTTCTCTCTCTCTCTCTTTTTTCTTTTTCTAATTGATCACATTGTTGACTTGTTGACCCATAAATGTGACACATATCTATCATTAGTGATATGAAGTCAGAATATAGGCTAAAGATGACTGTTGACGGCTTGGTATTTATCAATATAAACGTAGATATTAGACATAAAATTATAATGTTTAAAAAAAAAAAAAAAAAAGCTGCATACAAACATCGACAGTAACGACTCCTGCCGGGGGGTCCGGTCACTGGATGTCGTCACCTCTGTCTGTCCACAGCGGGGCAGGACTCGGTGAAACTTCTAGTGGACAGGACAACAGCCGACTGCGTCGTCGTGTTATGCTCGCAGATGACTGAGGAGCCAGCTGCTCACAAGATCTAACTTTTTTTTTCTTTTTTATCTGTTTTTTTAATTTCCACATCGTTTCATACCAATATGGCAGAATCCAGGCGTGAGGAGGAGGAGGAGAACGAAGGGGAGCGCACAAGCCAGGCATCGGGTATGGTGGTGTATCAGGCTTTGATTTATCTGCAGAGCGCGTACTTTAGGAAAAAGCTAAATCTTGGTTCAAGTGTGAACACTTGCAACATTGACGAAATAATTTGTGTAGAAACGCAATGTGAACAGCAAATAATGTGAAAAATATTCGTTGTTAAGCGGGGGAAGATGCTCCATTCATAAAACCTGTTGCTTAAAGCTCACAATTCAGGAGTCAGCGTTTTATTCTAATATAAACACAGAAACCGAGAGAGAGGAATGATCCCTAGAAATCCTAGAAATGTATAAAAGGTGCGCAAACCTCTCGTGGACCTGCAGGATCTTGCCATCTGGCAGGATTGAGAGACCGGTGTTAGGGTTAATTTGGGCAAATGCAGAAGGATTTTTAATAACTATGTTTTGATGTTGCTTCAGAAATCTGAACACAGTATAAAGCAGTTACAGGCTGTTGTGATGTTCTGATTTTCTGTGTGGAAGCAAACCAGTACTTTATTTAATAACGCTCTGACTGAAGTGCCATTTACATCAGTTTCTCCGTTTCTTATAATCACACAGAGCTGTGGATTTTAATCATCCAGTTTGTGATTATAGAAAATTCCCACCCGCTTCTCTACTCATAATTTGCTGCTCTTCATTTTAGCCCCGGCTTGCCCACAACAGTTAAGTACCAAGATAGTTTTACCCCAAATAATCTTTGTTTTTCCTAGCAAGCAACCCCACCCCATGTCAAGCCCAGCAGTGTCAGACCCCAACACACCCTCTCATACCACAACCTGACTCCACCAGCTGTTTGCATGGAAATTCCTGTCAGTGTCTGAACAGGCAGGCTGCTGTGTGATGAACACGTTGTGGTATGTAATTGATAGAACTTGTGATAATAACAGAAAATCGTCTGACCCACTTCAGATACTACTTCGGGCAGTTTGCACCGTGAATCACTCATTTGCATCGACACCATCTAATCTTCCCGGACACTGCTGCTGACATTGTGTTATTCACTCGTGACATCGTCATTTGGCAGCTTTAAGCCGTCTTGTTTTTAGAGTGAGGGCAAATCTGTTTTCAACAGTTAGCAGCAGCACTTCCTGGATTTTGACCTGAGTCACACTTTAGAATCTTTTCCCTCCCAAAGGTGCTTCAGCATGTTCTTGATGACCTGTACAGGATAGGGAGCAAATTTGCTTATCGAATTGACTGCTCTCTTAACTCATACGGAGTTCATGCTGGTGAAGCGTGACACTTGAAGGCAGATTGTTCTCCATTTGGTGCTCGTTTCACCAGCTGCTCTGTGACTGCTGCCACTTGTGCTGAGTAACGTCAGCATGTGCTCGAGGGAGAGTATGGCTGTGAAGGGGAAACCTTTCCTGCTGACTTTAGCTGCTTTCTGATGTCAGTGAATCTCTAATGGTAAATAATTCTCTTAAAGAGAGCCACTATTGTTACATACAGGTGCAACACATGCTTCAGTTTCTTTATTTGGGATGATCCTGTTGCTTCATTGGTCAGTGTGTTGGTTATTCTACCACTTTGGCCCTTATTAATATACCTTAACAGCCATCTGATGCATGTGTGGTCAATCCATTTTCCCAGGGTGCCACACGAGAAATAGGGACTGCTTTAGAATAAACTGAACCCAATTCTGCTTAAAATAAATGTTATCTCTTTATAAGCTTAATTGCTGTTGTCCTCCTCACCTACCACAATGAGGTAGTTCTTGGCCTGAAGTCACCTTCATGATGTTTAAGTATGATACAAGATTGCCTGAAGCTTATTCAAACTGGTGTGCCTTCATCAGCTGATATAATCTGTCATTTCTGGCATTTGCTGCTGGTTATAGTGGGATCAAAAATCAGTGTTCACTTTGCAAAACTTCCACAGGACTCTGGAAAAATCTCATTTATGCCTTGTTGATTCCCTATATCACTGCAGTTCTACTAGAGGGATGAAACCTAATTCATTCATTCCCTTATTTGAAGTTTTGAACATGATAGTGGAGAGCTCTGTCTGTCTCAAACTTCCCACAGCCATTCTGTTGGACTGAGATCTGGTGACTCATGTGATTCACGTTGTTTTCAGACAATCAGTCCATCTCTGTGCGACGGGGAGGCATAATCAGTCAAGAGTTTCAGTTAATTTGTCACACCTCTGTGTGTGTGAGGTATTCATGCCTAACGTCTCACGCACAGGTGAGCCAAGACAACCAAGACAAAACTGCAGTGCTGTTATTGGTGCAGAGGCCGATTATGACTAATAGGGAGGTTTTTGACATCCATTAAACCAGAAGTACATTCAGTACATTTGGAAGTGCATTCAGCTTTAGAGTTTATACTTTAAATCATGTGAAATGTATCAGCCTGCATCACTTTCTTTTTTACACCAACAGACAGAGAAATGGATTCACTTTGGTACTTTTCAGATATTTCAAACTCACTTTGTCTTTCAAAGAACTTGAAAACATGTACTGTTTGCATTCCTATAAGCCTGAATCTGTGAACACAAACAGCTGGCTTACATGGTTACTTAAAGTGTAACCAGATACTTTGTTTCTATCTTAGAGGATAGAAACAAAGCCCAATGATTTGTATTAAAAAAAAATTAAATGAAAAAACACATCTCAAACCTGCAAACTCAGAAAATATCTGAATCTTTTAGTTTTGACTGTCATGTCTATTTTATTTATAGCCTATAAGAGATTTAAACAACAGAAGCTGACTGTGCTCTAGAGAAAAGGCACATTTACATTCCAGGTCTCCAGAAAAGCCCAGTTTTAAAATATATAAAGAAATTTTCATATCAGTATTGGCAATACTGGCCCTGCATTGACTTGATATCAGATCAATGCCAAATCGTGCAGTATCACACAGCACTGCTGGTTACTTTATCTTTATATTAGAGCTATGGGTTTTTGGTAGCTCAGGTAGTAGACCAGCAGGTCTATCAATCAGAAGGCCAGTGAACTCATCCCTGACTCCTCCAGCTGCCCTGAGTTGCCACATGATAAATCTGTGTGAGGGTGTGAACGCTAGAAAGTACTTAGGCCTAGATAAAAGTGCTGAATGAGTGTGTTTGTGTGTGCGTATGACTGGATGAATGAGATTAGTAGTAGAAAGTGCTTTGGGTGCTCACCTGAGTAGAAAGGTGCAATATATAAGTACCAGTCCGTTTAGCTTACTTGGATTTACTCAATGACTCATATTTGAAGTGCTTTGAATGAGTGCTCTTCAGGTGCTCTGAGAAATCTTTTTTTTTTTTTAAATAGATCTTCCATTTATCATCATATTTTTAATTTTCTTTTTAAAATCCTTTAGTTAATTCAACATTTTAAGCAAATACTCAAGAGCCAGGTTCTATATTGCACTGGAAATATAACAGTTAACTGTTTAAGCCTGAAATAAATGCTGACCTCGTGACAGAGTAAATGTAAATTCAAAGCTGCTGAAGTTCATTATTTAAC